AATATACTGACTCTTTTGCCAAAGCGTCTATATCCAACGCACATGGCACCCTTTAGCGTCATATGAGACGCAGATATATGGCGCCTCCTAGTGGTCTAACCCTAACACTACCCCAGACCTAAACCTACCCAAAACCGAAGCGTGTTATTGACGCTAAAGGGTGCCATATGCGTTGGATATAGACGCTTTGGCAAAAGAGTCAAAATATTACGCTTTGGGATGAGAATGCGTTGGACGGTATATATCGTTATCGCGGTAGAAAATATCAACCGTAACAGATTTTTTTATTCCGTGTATACCGCGACATGCAAATAAGTGGGCGTGGTTAACTCGCGTGCAACGTGCGTGAGACTGAAACACTGAGAATTGTAAAAAGAAACACGGAGAAAGCAGATCAAGAGGATCCACAAAGGAATTACATTTTCTAAAGGGTTGTTGTTGCTGTCACTAGAGTCACTAGAGCAGTGCAGCACCCAGGCGACAGATAGAGGAGTGCACGCTCGCAACGGGGAAAGCTGGACAACAACAGTTATCAATATCGTAACGAATAGAAATAACCTTAAATAATGTATAGTTATCTTTCCGTCTCTTATGTATAGCTTTTAAACACGCAAACAGTTTGCCGCCCGTGGTAATGAACAACCTGCTTGTTAAAGTGAATGTATAATCCTGTAGCCTATCTGAGGCAAAATTACTAAATATGCATCGCGAGTTATTTCTAACTCCAAACAATTGGCCACCGAACCAGCTGATAAAATCTTCCTTTGATTCGATACGCGATTACAACTTGACACTCAAATTAACCGATCGCATTTACTGACGCAGAAGACGCGCGCGTGCACACGCACTGAGGGAGCGCGGTGTTCACCGGGGTATGGTCAAATAATGACGCAGTTACAAGGTGTGTATAATTTAAACTAGGCTACTTTGTCAACACTAACAGTAGCTGCTGTTTGGTTTTCAAACTGCTGCTCTCCTTCTAGTCACTTATGAACTTCTATTGATTAAAGCGCAGGGTGACGGGTTGCCAGATCACAAAAAGAGCAAAACAAGCCCCTTAAAAACGCAGTGTAGCCTATAAGCAGACATGGCAAAAATGTACCGGGGAACACATTTAAACATAACTAGTATTACTATCCTACAAAATTAAAAGGAAATAACTAATTTATCATGAATAGAATAGTTCAATATAAAATATTCAGATATAAACTGATTGATGAAGTAAAGCATAACATGATTGAAAAATTATTCAGAAACACTTTATTTGAAGTTTAATTGCACCTATGAGTTTTATTTAATATCAATCAGTTGGGGGCAGTTCATCTAAAAGTTGATGAGTGTGTTTTGTTTATATTTAGCTATCTAAATAGTTTACCAAAGAAATAATTTACCAAATAAGAGAAACAGAAAACAATGTGAAGTACTTTTCATTTCTAAAGTATTTGGGTTTATTTATTATACAAAGCCCTTTTTGTCGATTTTTTTTGAGAATAACTACATATATAAATAACTATATCGTGAAATATATCGTTACCGTGAAATCAAATTAGTCATACCGTGAAATAGAATTTTGGTCATACCGCCCACCCCTTGAACATCCGATGTTTCCCGTCTAGACCGTGTTAATCATCACATTCCAGATCAGACCGGCATCAAAGCTCGAGACGCTCCTCACTCGATCTGTGCGAAACACGTCCAGTAAACACTCGCATCGCAATTCAAAGTTTCACATCGGTTTCTGCCTTTTCGTTTGCCAGCCTCGGGCTTTAGTACTGACAGATAAAGTTAGTCATATCCTAAAATATTCATTAAGACATCTTGCTTGTGATATTTTATCCAGGTTATGTTTAAAATTAAAATAATATGTTTTGGGCATATTAATGGCTTAATATTATTATTTTTTATTTTGGGGTTAAGTTTAACCCAGACATTTCTTGATAGTTTTCTCATTTTTATTGTTTATTTCATCACATGATTTAGCTTTAACGGCTCAGGAAACAAAATCTACAATCACATGAGAGCCATTTTCCAAGGTTTTGTTGATGCGTGACCTTTGAGATGCCGCAACAGCAGATGGTGCATTTGGTGGCTCTTTTATCTGTATTCTTGGGTTACTGTAATGTTTTTAGCTGATTTAGTGTAGAGATCTATCTGATCTCACCTGCTGCTGAGAACACACACACACACACACACACACACACACACACACACACACACTAACCGTCTCACACTGCCGGAATCCGCCGGCCCACAGAAAGCCCATCTGGAACACAGTATCTCAGAAACAAATCATACTGAGGGTTTGGCGACACACCTTGTTGGCTTTCCAATGGAAGATTGTAATTTATCGACTTTTATCCCAGCTCGGGATTTCTTTCCAAGTTTTTGGCTGTTCCTCTCATAGACTGTAATTGGGTAGCATTTGAAGCATGTGCTTGTTTTCCAAAGACTTCAACAAAACACACTGTTTTGAGCCAAGTTACGTCACCCAGCGCCTTTGGCACGGAGAATACGGAAACTAAGACTAATGTTAATTGACTTATTTTTTCATAAACTTTAATTCGTTTTCTAATAAGGCATACACTTCAAGCATGAGGTCTGAAGAGGATCAAATCAATCAAATTCACTTTTGTACAAATAAATGTATATAATTAATTGCAAACTTTGAGTCAAATTTTACATTTGAAAGTCTAGCCTATATAAGACCAGCTGGAAATGATCACTTCAAACTGCTCTTGTGTGTTGTAGAGATATGTATCTTTGACAACTTTACATTATTTTGTGTATATTTGATCCTCTTCAGACCTCATGCTTGAAGTGTATGCCTTATTAGAAAACTAATTAAAGTTTATGAAAATCAAGCATGAGGTCTGAAGTCAATCAAATATACACAAAATAATGTAAAAGTTGTCAAAGATACATATCTCTACAACACACAAGACCTGTATGAAGTGATCATTTCCAGCGGGTCTTTTAGGCTTCCACATTTTCTGAAATTTGACTCAATGTTTGTTCATCCGCACACTCATGTGTAATCTACAAAGACTGTTATTTTGCATTTTCATTTTGATGGAAGGTCAAGTGCATTGAATTGTAATAGGTATCCCATACATGTAGAGCATTCACAAAATATGCTTGAGATTATAGTTTTAGACACAACATAATGCTAGGCCGTCTAGAAGTCTCATGGTCTGATGATCTTGGATCAGTTTTTCCAAACAGCAGGACTCAACAATTGAGGGTTGATTTAGGGTCGTGGAGAAGCACTGTCACGGAGTAATCGGAGAGGAGCAGATGTGTCGAGGTCGTCTGCTTCCTTATCGGACTTTTTCCGCTGTTCTTTCTGTCTGTTTGGCAATGGAAATTCACAGAAGTGGTTCTGAAATTCACCCTGGGACACAGTTGGTCCTAAATCAGCTGGCAGCTTTCTTTTGTTTCGCAGCTTGCCTGAAAAAATGCAGATAAGGCCGTTTGTTCTTGTGCGCTAGCATGAGTCTGCCTTTAGCCTTCATCAGCATTGCATTTATATTTTTGAATGATTTACTGGTGGATAAATACACATTGTTGCCAATAAAATCATACGTTGATAAAATGTTTTTGGTAGTGAAAACAGAACTGCAAAAGTTGTTTTTAGTGTTGTTTGTGGTTGATGCATGTGTTCAGGTCACCCTGTTAGCATTCGAAAAATGTTGCAATGCTTAATGGGTACTTAGCCTAGACCAAAAATATGCTGCTTTGAAAGCCGTTTCTTTGAAAGATTCTCCCTCTTTCTGCATCCCTTGATCTCTTTTCCCTTACACTATCCCTTTCTCTCTTTCCCTCCCTCATTTTATTTCTTCAAGGTACTCTTTCTTTCCTTCTTTCTGTCTCTCTGGCGTTCTTTCGCCCTCTCTGTGTTTGCCAGAAGGAGGCTCACTTCGTAGTCTTGGCAGCATTTTGTGTAATAAACTCCACACTAACGCTGGCTCATAAACAAATAAACCCAGGCACTCTGAAACGTAATTTCATCAAATCCTCCCCCGTGCTCTCTTTGCTCTCCTACCAAGCCAGCGAAAGCCATCTGTCTGTGCGAAAGGTTCTCAGTCTTTGTAAACTCTCCTCTGGTGTCTCCCATAATTTTGTATTTGTGTCTGTGATTCCACTCTCGTGTCATGACATCATTCTGAAAGCTTAAAGCTCAGTGTAGACAAAAACAGATGGCTGGACTTTTAGCTGGAAAGGAAACAATGCCTCTTTGGTGCCTTGTTAGCTTTGGGTATTAAGTTGTAGAGGACAGGTAAGGATATAACAGATTAAAAAGGTTTACCAACAATTACTATGTTGACTATTGTGGTTTACAACGATACATTGATAACCCTTTACAATAAGGTTCATTAGTTAACCTTAGTTACCTACCTTAGTTAACGTGAACTAAGAATGAACAATACTTCTTCAGCAGCATTTATTAATCTTAGATATTATTAATTTCAACATTTACTAATGTAATATTCTCAACTCAACTGTTATTTATAAATCACTTACAAAACCATTAGAATGGACAAAAGTGCTGTCCATAAATAGTAAATTATTTATTTATAAAGGGACCATGTAAAATTTTACTCATAATACTCTAAAGTAACTCTAAAATACATAGAAACATAAAATAACATCAAAACACGACACTAAGAAAATCATACAACCAATCACTCGCAGTTCTCAGACCTAATTAAACGGCAAAAGCTTGATTAAAAAAAAGTGTCCATGCTTGATGCGGATTTTAAAGATAATGGCAACACAGTCCAAAGTGCAGTTAGTAAATATACCTTATATTAGTTAATGCACTGTGAAGTAACACGAACAAACAATGAACAGCTGGATTTTTCCAACTAACACTGACAAAGATTAATAAATACTGTTAGTTAGTTAATACATTAACTTGTGTTAACTAATTAACCTTATTGTAAAGTGTTACCGATACATTTGTCGCCAACTGCTAATCCACTTTTCCCATTTGATTCTAGGGTTTGTCCTTCCAACTGATGAAAACCATGAAATCTGCTACTTACAGCACCTGAAAGAGATTTACATAATCAAGACGCAATGGAAGAGCCGTACAAAGATTCTGTAGCCGGAGACATGGCGAACCCCCAGGAGGAGGCCACCAACACTGATGCAGTTGGGAAACTCGAAGGAGAAGCCACTCCAATTCTTACAACCGAGACATGGAATGTCAGTTCTCCAACCATCACGAAACGATCCCTATCACCCCTGCTAACAATACAAGCCACCCCAGTGGTGACCCCGGCTGCTGAGTCTCCCAATGGTGTTGCCCTAAAGGTTGCTACAACTGTGCTTCAACCAATCTGCTTGGGAGAGAGTCCAATGATGTTGCCCATCCTTGCTGGTCCAGCTGCCTCTCAAGTTGGACAATCAGGGACAACTTCATATCTAATGACTAGTCAAGGTCCTGTATCCCTACCTCTGGTCTTGGAACAACAAGTCCTCCAACATTTGAATCCTCAATTACTTCAACAAACAGCAACTTGTCCTCTCCCTCTACAGAACAACATACTGTGCCAGAACCCTTCCCTTGCTCTCGGACCACCTCCAGTCCTTGACCAGAAAGGCTCAAATCCAGTGTTGGATACTAGTCTACTGACTCTTCTTCAGAACCCTAACTTTGCAGCAATCTTGCAGGATCTCTTCCCTGGCCAAGGGAACTCTTCGCCCGGTTGTCACCAAGCGTCTTCCCCGCAAGTAGACCTCGCCTCAGCGTTTCTTTCTCCTCCGCCTCTTACACACCCCTACATTTCTCCACTAGCCTCTCTGGTGCCTCCAGCCACCCTCCTCGTGCCCTATCCTGTTGTGATCCCACTTCCAGTGCCTCTTCCAATCCCAGTGCCAATCCCAGTCCCGGTCTCAATGTGCAAGGACTCAAAGATTGAGGTAGACTCCTCTAAACCGGCTTGTACGTCGAGCAAAAGCACACAGACGTCACCTAGTGACATCTCCCCTCATTTGACATTAACCAACAGGGAAATGGCACTAGTCCAGCAACCCTTTCCCTCTTGCTCGTCCCCTGTAGCGACAGACGGAGAAGTGCTAGACTTATCCATAAGGGCGCCTCAACCGTCAACGCATGTCGATATTCCACAAGGGATCCAAGCGTTTCAGCAAGACAGTGTCCTTGATTTGTCTGTACCTAGTATAAGAAAGACATGCATCAAGTCTTGTAGCACGTATGGGCCATTGGCCCCAGAGCGGGAGAGATTGTGCCACATTGGGGACGATGTTAGCAGTGGGGCTTTGGCTCTTGGGGTTCTTCGACCGGTAGATTGCACGCCGAAGCTAGATACCAAGTTGCTAAGTGGTTTAGCATCTCTAGAGTTCAGCAGACAGCACAAGTGGGTTGTAGATAGCGGTCATGGTAGCGCTATGGCTGAAGCTGTACACAACTCTGCGCTCACCGGAAGCGGCAACATCGAGATCGTCAGCACGTCGCAGACTGCCAAAGTCATTGTGTCGGTCAAAGACGCCATGCCTGCCATATTCTGCAGCAAGCTAAAAGGATTATCAGGCGTTTCTACTAAGAACTTTTCCATTAAACGTGACTCAAGTCAGGGGGGATTCGCAACACTGCCCAGGATCCCGGGGGATCAGCGAGGAGAATCAAGTGACTCGCTCAAAAAGATCTCCAAAAACAGAGGTATCAAACTGAAGAAAGTGAGCTCCCAGGAGATTCATATACTCCCCATAAAGAAGCAGCGACTGGCAGCGTTTCTACCCAGAAAATAACACATGCTCTTGCTTTCAGAGTGAGACGGGAAAACCAAGGACATGGGCAAAGAAACAGCTACTGAGGTGTAGCTAGAGAAGTAGCTACTGTGAAAATAATTGGTCTGAGAAATTTAACCAGGGTATGATGATGCTAAATGCATTCCTGGCAGAAACAAGGCCTAAAGCTTGTTTTCCAAGCTGTCCATATGATTTAGACTGATGCAGGCTGCCTCTGGCCTGACGTTTGGCATTTAGTCCATTCATTACAAAGCATTCAGCTGAAGTCAACAGGATAATGCTCCAAGTAAAAGAACCAATCTGAACAGGCCAAACTGCACTACTACTGATATTCTTTAGCATTTACAGCATTAATGCCAGAATCGTTTCCCTTCCTATGCATTTTGATTTTGGTCACACATCCTCATGAATGATTCATCACACTTAATCTGCATTGCCATTAATATGCATGAGATCTGAGATCTGTTCTGAAACCTGGCCAGCTGTCAGCGAGAAACACATCGTGTAGTGTTGCTGACAAATTCTCCTCTTGCTAATATGCTTTTTTTGCCGAACTCTTGTTCTCCCGTCGCTGTTTACACTTGGAGTGCAAGACGTTTCCCATTTTTGGTCCTAATGAACTGTAGAAGGGGGAACCGTGACCTTTTGCTTCCCTAATCACTGTATTAATCAGTGGGGCATTGGAGCGGAGGATCCTCTTTGAAGAACAGGAGGGGTAAGCAGTTAGCATGGCAGCCTCATAATGACTTGGCAAAGCGCAGACCTCAGTTTCATTAAGTCTGATGATTGGAGGAAATGGTTGTCAGTAGCAACAAAGCATAGTTCTCACTTCTCATCATCCTCCCTTTGGGGGGGGGGGGGGGCAGAAAAGCTCCCCCAACCGCCCTCAACCAAATTAAAACTAAATAATCATCAGGGGTTCGTCCCTAAACACAACAAATCTGAGTGAAATGGCTTATTAATGCTGTTTTTATGGCCGTGGGTTCAACTCCAAGTCATTTATATAGATTATTGTTCGCCATCTGTGTGAACACACACACACAAGGAGAGTTTAAGTTTTAACAGTGTACGGATTTTAACGGTCTTTATAACGATACCTACAGTGTTTTGGATGGTGAACTGCCTAAAATGGAAACGAAATCCCTTAGTAATTTTTTCATTTTTTTTACGTTACTAGATTCATCAGTGTATGTTATTCCACGTGTTTTGTAATCTTTCATGACAATGAGACGACTTTTATTGTCTTTCTGGGTGATGTCAGCAAGGTTGCACAAGCAATAGTTTAACATTAAGGCTATTCAGTCATTGTTTTAAGCTGCTGTTGCACATCTTGATAATAGATAATGCAGCAATTTTAACATTACTGGAATACAGTTTTCCGCAATAATAGAAAAATTGAAAAAGTAAGCGTTGACATTGAATATGGGGAGCTGCTCTCGACCTTCAGTCCCAGTCAAAAGCCCTCTTCAAAAGTGAGTGCTGGTAATATTTACAATCAGGGCCGGCTTCATTCTCACTCTTTTCTAATGGATAAGATCAAGTGCCACCCTACATTTTCTTTTCATCTTTTATGAAATAAAATAAAAATAATTGTGATTGCTGCTTCATGGCACTAAAATCTGTATTATTGTAGCTTTCATGTGGTTGTGATGTGTTGAGTTTGATTGATAGCGTGAGGGGGTGTGTCGCACCGCAGGTTTCCACCCTCTCATTAACCTTCTGATCATCCCAGCCAGTTTAGCAATCAACTTATTAAAACAGTTGACAGACACCGGATCACAAACTGAATACTGAATCAGACAGATTATCCCCATGAGCATGTCATAACGTAAACGAGATGGAGAGAAATAAACAGTTTTTAGAACCTTTTTATTGGAGATTTTTGCATTGTGACATTATTATTTGTGACAAATACATTTTCCCTCTTATAATTGTGTCTATGTATGTGTATATTTACTACAAAATATTACTGTAATACAAATTTGTAAAATTTTGTACTAGTAAAAGAGTCACAACGTGTAAATACTTTACAATTTAAATATTGACTTTTTGTGCATTACAATAATGAGAATTTGGATGGGAAAATGCCTGGTGTTTATAAAAATAATACCACAATGCAAAAAAAAAAAAACAAGCTTCATTTTCTTTAAGCAAAATCGAATGGATTATTTCTGATAATTTTGAGGTGCAATATGACCTCTCGACAATTCACCCAAAATATACAACGTGAGTGAACTTAATAAATCAAATATTATTCTATAGCGAACGTGTTGCAAACATACGGTGTGCATTTCAAATAATTAACTGGTAACTTTTAAACGCAGACGAGCATCTCCACAGCGCAATAATCTTGATCTTGGGCTACGGCCAAACCAAGATGAGTCTAATTTGGTCACAGATGAAGATTTAAGTAGCAATATAATGGATTGGCTCAGATGAGACTTTCCTTCAGGCCATCGGGATGAGATCCTAGACACTCTCTCAGAATAGTCCATAGAAAAAAAGAAAAAGAAAAGATAAATGACAATAATGAGCCAGGATTGATTTTGTCACGTCAGTATGAAATGTGCTGACTCGTGTTTGTGTGTTTGTTTATTGGAAATTCCTGCAGACGGAGTTAGAAAGGCGTCCGAGGAAACGGTTTCATGTTGAACTGATTGAACTTTCACAGATTTCCTCCATTTTCACACAGTTCGCTCAAGTATTGCTTTATACAATTAATACATTTGATGAGCTGCTGTGCAATTGTCCTTGTTTTTTTCCTGTCAGTACTGAAGTGTGTGTGTGTGTGTGTGTGGGTGTTAACTGTAAAGCCTTAAATCATTTCCTGGCCGGTATGTGATATATTTTCACTCTTCCCAGATCTACACGAAAGAAAAAAACAATCACCATCAGCATGAATACCAGAAGTTTATGAATAAACCATGACTGTTTCTATGATGTGAATTAATTTGTGTGTCAGATGACCCTCCAACTCTTTTATAGGTACTGAAATTTTAAGTATTGAATGTTTTTTTTGTTTTGTTTTTTTACCATGAACAACTTTTGTACATAACTGAATGAAAAAAGAAGAGAGTCTGGTGATGTTTTAAATTATTTATTTATTATTTGTATCATTTAAAATGTTGAAAATGTGTACGTGACGAATGCATTAGCTTTAAAAATTTCATGATTAAAAACGTCTCTGGTATCAAGAGCAAAGCTTGTTTTTTTTTCAGTTTTCGAACATTTCATGACAAGTATTGATATTCAATCATTTGCTTAATCTATATGGCACGACGTTACGAATACATTTGATTTTTTTTTTTTTTTCGTACAAAAAAATGAAAAGTCCAACAAAGAAACGGAATAGTCTAAACAATCACATTCACAACTAACTTGAAATGCTACGATACAAAAGATGGGGGAAAAAACCTGAGAAGTCTCAAAGTAAAGCAAGGCAGTTTTTAAAATGGACATTTCCTCCCGGTAAAAAGCGCTGGAAGGCAGATCAAGATATATTCAACAACCAATCCGTAACGTATCGTCACATTTCCCACCTCCATATACAACGCGTTTAGCTTAAAATAGTTCTTCTCTACAAAATGTACATTCCTGTTGCTGAGTTTTATGGTTAAACCCATAATACACCATTGACGTCTGATCTATCAATGCAAGTGATAAAATATCAACATAAACTTCAGGATAAAGACTGGAGGCCAGTGTGAAACACACCGGCATTCACATTACATCAAATTCCCACTATTTTAGTGATATTTCGTATAGTTCAATGACACCTACAGCAATGATGTGGTGTCTGTTGAATACTGTCCTCCAGCAGGCGTAGATGTCCGGTTTCAACATCGAACCGTGACTCTGCAACACACACATCAACCCAAACACTCCCAAGATAAGAGCTCGACGTGAAGGCCTCGGAGAAACATCCAGTTTCTGTAACAAAACTGACGCCAAGTCAAACAAAACGCTCTGGAGCACGTCGACACTCGTGACACTGAACCATTCTCCCGTCCTTCACTTCTTTAAAGAGACCTGGAGGACTGGAAAACAAGTAGCGATAGAAGAGAAATACAGCAGACGGAGAACTAGAACGATCATTTATAATCAATGCTGTTCACTGATGTATTGGGCTATACATTAAAGATTTATGCATTTGAATCGCATATACAATTTCCATTCATTTGGGTCGCACAGCTTTACATGGAAGCTTGTTTCCGCCACAGAATGAAAAATAAAAAAGGTAATTGCGACTTTTTATCTCACAATTCGGACTTTTTTTCTCACAATTGCGAGTTTTAAAGTCAGAATTGATTGATATAAAGTCGCAATTGCAGGTTATAAAGTCAGAATTGCGTGATATACAGTCAGAATTGATTGATATAAAGTCGCAATTGCGTGTTGTAAAGTCAGAATTGTGAGATATAAACTATTCTGAGGGGAAAAAATTTAATATCTGATAACTCGCAATTGCAAGTTTATATCTCACAATTCTGAGAAAAGATGTCAGAATCTCGAGATATAAACTCGCAATTATGTGTTATAAAGTCAGAATTGCGACTTTAAGTCGCAATTCTGAGAAATAAAGTCGCAATTGCGAGATATAAAGTCGCAATTCTGAGAAATAAAGTCGCAATTGCGAGATATAAAGTCGCAATTCTGAGAAATTAAGTCGCAATTATGAAAAATAAAGTCGCAATTGCGAGATATAAAGTCGCAATTCTGAGAAATAGTCGCAATTCTGAGAAATAAAGTCGCAATTCTGAGAAATAGTCGCAATTGCGAGAAAAAAGTCAGAATTGTGAAAAAATTGATAAAAATGAGATAAGACAGTCTCAATTCTGTCTTTTTTCTCGCAATTGCGACTTTATTTTTCATAATTGCGACTTTATATCTCGCAATTCTGACTTTATAACACATAATTGCGAGTTTATATCTCGCAATTGCGACTTTATTTCTCAGAATTGCGACTTTATATCTCGCAATTGCGACTATTTCTCAGAATTGCGACTTTATATCTCGCAATTGCGACTTTATTTCTCAGAATTGCGACTTTATATCTCGCAATTGCGACTTTATATCTCGCAATTGAGACTTTATTTTTCAGAATTGCGACTTTATATCTCGCAATTGCGACTTTATTTTTCATAATTGCGACTTTATATCTCGCAATTGCGACTTTATTTCTCAGAATTGCGACTTTATATCTCGCAATTGCGACTTTATTTCTCAGAATTGCGACTTTATATCCTGCAATTGCGACTTTATTTCTCAGAATTGCGACTTTATATCTCGCAATTGCGACTTTATTTCTCAGAATTGCGACTTTATATCTCGCAATTGCGACTTTATTTCTCAGAATTGCGACTTTATATCTCGCAATTGCGATTTTATTTCTCACAATTCTCACTTCATATCTCGCAATTGTGAGATAAAAAGTCGCAATTATTTTTTTTATTCAGTGGCGGAAACAAGCTTCCATAGCTTTAACATAAACTGATAAATCTGTATATTTTTCAGTCATACATTAATAAAACAGCTCAGATTTTTGTAATAACAATTTTAAATACACAATAACCATATTTATCATCATGTCCAAGTTGTTTCAATTGAATATTGCTTGTTCCACAGCCTGACATATTTTAAACATGTTTAGACTTTTTAACTGGATGCATTTTTCACACTTATGCTGTTCTATGCAATTTGAAAATGTGATTATTTAAAGAGAATCA